AAGAAAACTCATAATAATAAGAAAAACTACAGTTAAGAGAGCTCCAGAGTGTCGTTACAAGATTTAATACAAAAAGTAATTACTGCATGCATGTAGGAGAATAACAATCATTAAAGCTGTGAACATATTTCGATTCACAAACACACGCACGCACACACGCACACACGCACACACACACACACTTAAAAAGCAGATGAATGCTAAATTTGATGTGAAAATGCCAAGCTTACAAACCTTTAATTTTAAAAGTTGTTATTTAGCCTACTAATTGTTTCTTTTCTCAATGTATTTCAGTTTTTGTTAAAAATTGCAAAAATAACCTTTTTGTCATTACATTTCTATTGTATGTAATTTCATCTTCATAAAAAGAGAAGCATATGTGTTGGCTTTGTGAAAAGGTAGTGAGATGCTGTGATAACCTCATAACACAGTAAAATAAAATACTTAAATTTAATACAACTGATAATTTGAGACCATTTTGGTTATTTGTCCAGGAGGGAAATCATCTGAAGATGTTCCACAATATTAGAGCTGGTAGAAAACAACTTTCACACTCTTCAGCTAAACAGGATCCAATACTGCACAAAAATGTCTGTTTGTCTTTTACTGTGTAACTCAAGTTTATGTTTTCAGAGGACAACACCTCAACCTCTTATTCTTTTGTTTCCTTTTGTTTCATCTTGCACCCCTCCTTCATCATTCAACCTCTTTTTATTCCCTTCATTCTCCCTTCCTCTTCTCCCTTGATTCTGTGCAGAAAATCGTCTTTTTTTGCCTCCTTCAGCCAGCATCAGATCAGCCTCACCCAACGACCATCATGCTCTTCCAATAATACTTTGTTTTCAGAGAAGCAACAGACTTTCCAAAAGACAAACAGATAACAACCGAATCAACTTAGAGATGCATATCGTTACTTGAAAATTGATTGCAGAATCTTGTTTTCAGATGTTTATTAGCAGTCGAATGGTTCTCTCATTGCCTCACAGAAACCTGAATGTGAAACAGGGCAGGAGATGTGCGGGGACAGGAGGGGAGGCGGGAGCTGAGGGATGGAGGAGGTGAGTCTAAAGGGAGCATTTGATTAAGTCTGAAAATCTGCTCTGAAGGTCGCAGAGTAAGCCTTTAATCAGTCTTTGACTGGAATTCAATAATCCATTTCTGTGATCTATAATAAGTCCTTTTTCAGGAAATCATTACATCTCCACTTCTCAACTATGATTATTTGCTGATTTGTGTCTTATCTGGTTGCAAACTGAATATTTATATATATTTTTTTCTGTTATTCATACAGAAAAAAAACTAGCTAAATGGTTTTTCATAAATATTGATAGCCTATAGGCTTTGATAAATATTGATAACTGTGTTACATATTTTTTTACATTCAATAGACAAAAATACTGGAGAGTCATAAAGAAATTCTCTACAAATTAGCAGAAAAAGAAAAATGATAGTAAGTGTAGCTGCAGCCTCTAAAGAGTTTCTGAGCTCTTTCTTAGAAGACCCAGCAGGTTATGAAAACACATAACAGTCTACATCTGAGTATCAGTCAACACAATCACAACAGCAGCACTGCTATGGAACATATTCTCAAAGTATATTCCATATATGATTTACAACATCCTGATGGGAAAACGACGCTATTAACTCCTGAGTCATTTAGTGCAGTGCCACTCAGTGAGCAATAGGGCAGGGGATTCTGGGATGGAAGAGCACAACAACTTGGGAAATGATATGGTATGATATGAGCCTAACAATACATCAGTGTACAACTGGAGAGTATACAAAGAGTCTGAGTCTTTTCAGCACTCTCTCATAACAACGTTAACACTTTCATACGCTGTAACGTGACAGAGGGCTGAACTGTGAGGCTACAGAACATTTCAGACTGAAAGTATTGCACAAAAGAAAGGACGTTGTTATTTAAATAAAGTATCATTAAATACACATTATTGTTTGCAAAAATGACCCCCCAGTGTAAAAAAAAACATTTTGTGGCAGTCAAACTAGTGACCAGTCAAATGACACTAGCACTAGCCCAAGGTATACTCTATCTGCAGATAAAGGCCTGAAACTAAATAAATGCATAACTTCTGTATAAAGTTCAACATGAAAATGTTCAGTTTAGGGCTGGGCAATATATTGAGTTTTTAAGTTTTTAAGATATATCGATATTCAAGATCTAGGGTAAGACAATATCGTTAATATCAATATAGTTTATGTTGCATTAAAATAACATTACAGAGGTGCAAGGTCACCTTTTTCTCATCTCACTGATGATGACTGACTGTCTGTCCCTCTTCACCCTGCTCCTCCTCTCTCTCTCTTTTATTGTATTTAAGGAACATTTTATTTTATAACATTACTTTTTAAATTCACAAACAGGTAGTTTATTTTTACATGTGTTTTCACTGTTAATAAAATACATATCGATATATATCGAGTATCGCCATTCAGCTTATCAATATCAAGATATGAGTTTTGGTCCATATCGCCCAGCCCTAGTTCAGTTCTTCAGGTACGCACTACACAGCAGCAAGCAGGAAGTACACTCATCAAACCTAACTTGTAAACAACGCACAACACTCTTATATGTGAATGATGAAGTAATACAGCTTTGTTTGCCTAAGCCCTTTGGCTATAGCCTCCTCTGTGCTGTTTACAACCTTTAAATGTAAGTTTAACTTTGGTTTAAAAAAAGAAAACCAGTATTCAGTATTATACATTCTAATACAGAGTCTCCCTAACTTTTCAGCTCGAGACCCTCAAAACAAGGTTTCCAGAGACTGGGGACCCCCACTGCCCCTGGAGGTGGTTAAGGTTTATAAAGTATAGCACACAGCCACACACACATAGGCCTATCCAAACAAAAGAATACAACAGACTGAAAACCCACTCCCTACCCCCAACCACTGTTCTTCTATAAAACTGAACTTGATTCTTAAAGTTTGCTGCTCTGATCATTATTATTATTTTCTTAAAGCTGCCAGGAAAATATGCCAAGTGTGTGAGTGAGGGAGGATAAGTCGTTGCCATTCATACTGGCCTTTTGCCATCCTCAAATAGGTCACGAGTTGTCACACTTTTCTTGGTAAATAATGTGTCAAGCTGTGTTTTTCAGGAAAGTGAAAAGGCTGGAAGGAATACATACAATACAGAGGAAGCTGTGCACATGTGGCCTATTATTATCCTGTCTGTGTCCTGGCTGATCTGGACCAGTAAATACTGTGCTATTGTCTTCACTTGATGAAAATTACATGCCAATACAGACAGGATGCATTGTGTAACCTTGTGCACAGAAAATAATATGGTTTTAAATGTGCAAGAGAACCCGGCTGCTTTCAACAGGACACATGAATTAGTATAATTCACATATAAACCATGCATGAATTCTAAGTTTTTTTAAATGACTACAAATTAAAAATGTGTCATTTTTTTATCTCCATTGACTCTGTTGAACTTTATGAATTCCAAACAAATAGAGACCAATAGCCTTCATCATTTAAAATCAATCCAAAATACACAGACAACATCTGAATGAACGCCAAATCTAAGTCCAGTGTAACAAGGGAGGCACCACTGACTAAGCTAAAATACAGTCCACTTGAACTTGAGATTAAGGCTTCAGACACCACACACTCATTAACACCTTGCAGGAGTGTGATTAGTGCGAGCGGTCACAGTAAGCAGGGCACACACACACAGACATGTCCTCATAGTTTAAGTACAGGCTCTGCAGCAAACAACACAAACAAAAAGACTGCTTCTTAACACAACGGGAGCTTTGGCAGGAAGCCTTGCTTACTGTACCAGATGGACATGTTATGGAAACCATCATGTGGCTGAACGAGAAAGAGGATTAGTGTTTGATCCCGATAATGATCTAAAATGTCCCAGTAATGGCAGCGAGAATAGGCACAGCTCTAGAGAGAGAGAGAGAGAGAGAGAGAGAGAGAGAGAGAGAGAGAGAGAGAGAGAGAGAGAGACTTCCTTCTCTTGACTTTGAACTTTAAAAGCTCTTCTGAATGTTTGTTTTGTCTCAAAATGCATTCGCTGCAAAAGCAAGAGATACAATAGAAATGCCAGGGTCATATAGATAATATGTGGTAAAAAGTATCTAAAAGGCAGCTTAGAAGGAAAAAGAATGCATGTATATAATAATAATAACTACTGCCTTGAAAAAACTATAGCCTAACAGAACAAACCTGGTTTAGGGTGGTTAATATCACACTGATTATATAGATTAAGAAATAAAACCAATGATGAAAACATATTGCACAGCTTGTATGATCAAAACTTCAATACTACTGATTTTTTTTTTTTTTAGTTTGCTATGGTTGCAGTGCAGTCTGACTTACTCAGCAGCATCATTTATTATTAATCAATGACAAATAACAATCATAATTTAATCAAATTATAAAATGGTCATTTACTAACATCTCGGTTATCTGTGTCAGAATGATTTTCGAGGACTAATGTGTTAATACTAAACTCATCATGACAGTAAAGTAAACCTTTAAAAGTAGAGCTTTTTCTCAGCGGCACCAGCATCCTACAAGACAATGACAAGGGAACAATTACATTACAAAAGACAAACACGTCTGCTCAAAGTTTGCTGGGCCCACTGTGTAAGTTGTGCACCTGCATGTCCCCTCGCCCTGGACATCCTACGCATTTGTACGAGCAGAAGGGACAGCCCCTGTGAAATAGGACGGGGATCAGTGAGTGTGCTCAGCGGGGATTGAGCCAAAGTAGCTGCATCACTGTAGACCCAGGCGGGTAAAACTGCAGGAGACTAAAGCAGAGATCAAACCCTCATAATGCCCGGGACAGTCTGAAAAAAACGGCAGATAAGGCAACGGAAAAGAAAAAAAGGAAACAAATATTTCCTGCGGTGAAGTAAATCGACCTACATTGAATAGGAAAAAGTAGATTCACTACATTTGACTCCACCTGCATGCAAGGAGCCATGTCCGAGAAACAAACGTCCTTGTTGTGCTCACCTCTCTCTCTGTGTCTCCATCCCACTCAGACTTGTGGTCCTGATGATACGCTGCTGCTGCTGCTTTGCTCCAGCATCATAAAGCACTGTTTTTCCACTAAGGAGGGGGAAACATGATGGTAGTGCAAACCAGGCTGACGTACCGCCCTGACGAGACCGTGCCGACCAATCAGAGTGTAATCCGGTAGAGTCCTTAACCAATCCGCTCAGGGGGAAAGTGAGGCGTAGCAAGGTAGATTGACGCTGTTGGAGAATTCGAAGGCAACTCATGCACACCAGACAGACTACACATTCAGCTGGGAAAACAGTCACACCTCGAAGGGTTAACAGAGCCAAGCAAGTACTAATGTGTTCCCTCATATATTACAAGTACTAATATATCGTCGTTTATCCTCAATAATGTAGACTAAGGTAATGTGTTAGCTTCTATCCATGTCTCTACTATTGATAGCTAACAGATAAACATCATAAACGAATTTTTAGTAAAGAAAAAATGCCTAAATTAAAGAAAGCATACAATATAAAACTGTGGAAATGTAAAAAATAAATAAAATAATCAGATGTTAAAGGTAAACTGTGCATTGTGTCAGTTATAACTAATCATTATTGTCTGTACAGCCAACAACAACCTGTTAATGAGTCCTAAATTTGGATATAAGCTTGTTCAACCCCGATTTAGAGTACTATAAATAGAAATCTACAAGATTTAAGATACTCACTTTGCCTACAAAATTGCAATATAGACCTAGCTATATAAAGTGTTAAGCAGTTTTATGGGTGGTCAGAGTAAGCAAAAGGTATCCTAAGCTTGTGCATGTCCACATTGAGGAGCAGTAAGAGGATGAGTAACCACATTTGGTCATAAGCTTATTTTGGACTGGCTGTAAAATTCATCGAAGACATGTGCTGTATCCTCTGCTGCTGTGTCACTCAGCCTGTGTTCAAGCTCTTTACACATTGCCCTCGTTTCAGTACTCTAATTCTAAATTTTCCTATCGTGGCAATGGTTTTCCAGTCTAGTGTGGGCAGGTACTGAGCTTCAAAATCCCATTGAGGGTGGGGATAACTTCTAAAGGAGATTAAAACACGGTGTGAAAATTCCACTGACCTGCTCTTGTTTCCTTTAGGCTGCTTCAACCAGACAAACACAACACACAAGAGAGTAGGCCTACTTCCTGTTGCATTTTTTTTACTGGATGAACGTTGAAGATGGAGTAAGACTTTCAAAAAAGACACACAACACAGTTAAATTCAATATTTTATTGCCCTTAGATCAGCAATGATGTAAATGAACCAGCCTGACAGTGTGACATAATCAGGAATTCTCTTGTATAAAGCAAGGAATAACTGTCTAATCTATCAAATAAAATGATTCATTCAAAAATATTTGTTGTTCAAAATAGGATACAAATGTCCAAAACAAACATGATTATAACCAATTCACTGGTTTATATTATATACTTTCAATATTATAAATAATATGATTCCAGATGCTTTAAGTTGTCTGCACAGCAGGTGCTTAAAAAAAGGAAAATGCAAAAATGTTGATATCTTAAATAATAAAAGCCCTGGCAAAATAGTACAACAGTAAAGTCTATAGACTGAAAATATATTCTATGGACCAGCATAAAAAAAATGGAGTGAACTGAATAAAACAAAGGAGATTGAAAAAGACATGGGGCTGGATTTTATTTTAAAGTACCATTAGGGGATATTACTATACTACATCCAAAAGCAGTGTGAGTTGTGAGGTAAAGCTTTTCAGCTAATTTAAAAGTCGCTAACTCAAAACAAAAATGTTAATACAAAAAATATTTTATTTTCAGTTACTATTTAACTTGATATAGTTCTTAGAGTTTTAAAGATGCCCTTTACTGCCAAAATGTGATTAACTAATAAGTTTATTAAAAAAAACATGTCATAGGGACTGCTGAACATCTGGTTAAAAAATAAGGAAATTCAATCAAACAAATACACGTGAGAAAAACCTGTCAGTTTAAGGCATACTGCTTCATGTCCATGTTCACTTTCTAAACCTTTTCCATATCTATCTATATTCCACTTACCATCAACGTTACAACCTGCTTTATCACTTGCACACCATCTAAAAATATATACACAGTTTCCTTTCATATCCTAACTTTACACGTTCCCTTTTAAATCACTTATCTGCATGACCTTTAATCACTTTCTTAACAGTACAGGCTGGACAGTTCTTTCTATCTTATCATACCATCCTTTCTCTTGTGCTTCCTCTCTGGATTTATTTGACTGAACTGTGGTTGGGTGACTTTATTTCAAAGGACACTTTTGGGAACAGCCTTTCTGTGTTGGTGTTTGGCTGACGTTGGGGAGTTGTCAGGAGGGGGCCACTGTGGTTTGGTTAGCTGAATGTCTTCCTCTATCTTAAAAGCTTTCTTTTGGGGATCAGCCTGTGGGGGCCAAACTACAGATATTCTGTTAAAGAGTGGTTTGCTTTCATCGCACGTTTTTGTCACTTCATTTTCACTCACGTGTGTTTTGTCTATTGAATTTCGGCTGCTCATGGAATATCTCCATTCAAGTTTCTCATCTGAGGGGATAGGACCAACGCTTCCTGTGGGAGGTTTCTGCCCAAGTCCATTATCGTAGTTTCCATGGGACTTAAGGAGTTGTTTGTAATGGGGTAGACAGTAGAGATGTCCATGGAGAGAGATGTAATTTCCTAGGCTACAAGATAAATTAATATTGTTTCAGTGACGCACCATTTTAAAATAATTCAATAGTAACCGACTGTATATATTCTTAACAATTATTCCCATGGCTATTAAATACAAAGGCATTTGTCAATTTATATTTTAATGTTTAATGGCCATATTTACCTTAATTTATTTCTGCAGTGCTCACAGCAGAAACAAGATTTATGGTATTTCTTTTTGTCCACTATAAGAGCATCCATCGGATAAGCTCTCCTCCAGCAAACTGTGCATAGCTCCGACTTCGGAACTCGAACCTGTTGGATAGAGATAAAATGCAAATTATTAGATTTCTATTTCAGATTTTTTATTTTCTATTTGAGAAGCCTCACAATGCAAAAACAATCTTATTAGTACAAGCGGTACAAAAGATTATGGTTTTATGTCAAACTGTATATATCATGCATATTTATTTGGTTTAGTGAAACATTTGCAGAGGTCATGGGAGGGGATGATTCAGATCATCAGACCTGGTTTGCATTTTGTCCTATGTACATACATCCATGTATCTCTCTTATCTCATCTCATCTACAAATAAGCTATGATCTTGGTCAGTTCAAGGTGCATTATATAATTTATTTATTATGGACTGCTAAAGCACAGCCCTCCAACATTATTATTAATCAAATTTGAACAATTTAAATTAAAACAAATAAATGTTTGACTGTTACAAATTTACAAAAGTTTAACAAAGTATTTCAACCCACAGTCAACTAAGATATTTCTTTTAATCAAATGCCATGATACTTTTAAGTAGACTGTACCCATTATCTGTTCAAGGTTTGATGTTGGCATTAGATATTCATCTATTTTGCTCTATGGATGGGAAAATGACTTTTGGTAGAGACTGGTCTTCAAATAAAGACTACTTAAGTCATTTGTTGCCCCGAATTATCAAGTCTAACTTTTCCTTTCTCCCAAAATATGATTTATGACCAAACACATGTAAAACTATTGACATCCCACCATCTTTAGCCGTACACTATTTGCTGAGTGCTAGCATGTTAGCCTCCCTGTTACAATTCAGCATGAGTATGTTTACATGCTGATGTTGCTCTCTGTTTTTGTTGGTTTTTACCAACACTTTTTGTTTTAGCCCACACAATTTATAAAATCTAGTAATCTTAAAATTCTGCATTTAAAAACAAAAGGTCAACATAGCCATCCAAAGTCCATGCCATTGGCTTCTGTTGCTTCATGCTGCATAGGTCTTTACCAGATGAGACAATCTGTGTCTGCTGTGACACAACTTGCGATGTCGTCTCCTCAGCAACAGTGTAGCCAAGACTCTTGAAAACGGTCTCACTCTCTGTCCATGTTTTGTGGAAATTTCTCAGCAAATTCTCAGTAGCATCCTCATCGTAAGTCTCTGTTCGCCTCACTGCGGCTGCTTTCCTTCTTACTGCATCAGCATATGAAAAAGGAGTGTGTTCAGTTGACACACTCTCAGAGTGCTCAGTGACAGCGGTCCTTGTTCCAGTGACCTTGTTACCAAACTCATCGAGATTTGAGAAATGTTCTGTGATTGATTTGGTTTCAGAGAAGGCTTCTGGTTTAGCTGGCACACTTTCCAGCTCATTTTTCAACTGAGGGAGGGGGGTGCTGTGCCGTGAGCCTCCCTTTGTCTCTTGAGGACTTTCCCGCTTTGAAGTGTCTGCTTTTGTTTTACCCAGGCTTGACACAGACTCCTCCCAATCCTTTTTCTCCTCTCCGATTGAGGAACTTTGCTCAACCAGTTCAAAAACATTTTTGATAGCATGGATGTCAAAAGTTGGCATTTCCTGTTCCAGAATGTCTATTTGCTCTTCTGTGCTTTCGGTGTAATTGTGCAGCTGCTCTGTAAGTGGGGTAAGCTCTTTTCTGCTATGCGATTTTTCTTCAGGTGATTCAAATTTGTGTACAAGATTAGACAAGTCTGCCCTGGGAAGCTCTTCCTTGTCTTTGTTTTTATTTTCCTCCTCACTGTCCTCCACGTCTGAGCCCAATCTTTCAGGGATAGCAATGGGCTCTTTCCGCATATAGGTCTTATTAATTTCAGCCTTTTGAGCCTCTTCAAAAAAGCATTTCTTTTCTTTGAAAGATGCAGTTGATGGCTCTGAATTATCAGAATCTTCACCAAGATCTGGGTCATTTTGACATATTGGCATGTGGGACTCAGACTTACTTTGCATTTCATTTGCTTTCAAACCTTCTGAAATATTTGCTTCATTTTCTGAAAAGCGTTCCAGATTTGCATCAGCCCCCTGAGCCCCATCGGATAAACTCTTTATGGATTTCTCTGTCGCAGTCCATGTCCCTGAAGCCTCCAAAAGATGGGAATCAATCTTGATTTGCCGGTG